ATCATCTGTTCATCCATCCATCATCCATTCATCATCTGTTCATCCATTCATCATCCATCATCCATTTATCATCTGTTCATCAACTGTTCATCTATCCATCCATCCATCCATCCATCATTCATCCATCCATCATGCATCCATCCATCATACATTCATCCAATAACCATCATCCATTCATCATCTGTTCATCCATCCATCCATCATCCATTCATCCATTAATCAGCAATTCATCATCTATCCATCCATCCATCCATCCATCCATCCATTATCTTTATCCGCTTCTTCCTTTTCGGGTCGCAGGGGTCACTGATGCCCATGTCCAGCAGTCACTGTGTGAGAGGTGGGGTACACCCTGGACAGGTCTCCAGTCCATCACAGGGACACATAGAGACAAATGAAACAAACAACCATTCACTCTCTCACTCACACCTAGGGACAATTTAGAGTTACCAATCAGTCTAACATGCATGTTGTTGGTCTGTGGGAGGAAACTGGAGTACCCAGAGAAAACGCACACATGCACGAAGAGAACATGCAAACTTAACATCTGACCAGAGCCTTGTGGGTTTTCTATAAATGTCACGTAATAGTTACGGTAAATATGATCAGCGGGGCAAAGTTTTCGACTGACGTTTAATTTTTCCTTAGAAAAAAATTGTAAAACTGAAAGAAATCATTAAGAAAAAACACAAAAAAAACACAAAACGAAATCATCCTTACTGTAGATCCTGAAATGTGGCCGTGGTGCTTTTGCCTCCCCAGTGAAGTGTCTCACTGACGACAAAGCATCAATGGGTTACACAACAGCTCATGTAAAAAACAGGAAACTGGTCTGAATAAAATATGTGAAGCAGTCGTGGCCACCGTGAGAAAAGGAAAGCTGTTAAAGGTTGCTGATTTGGTTTTTCCACATTTAGTATCATCTCCCTTTAAACATATGGATTTTATGCTTGTCTGCCAGCAGCAAGGTGACATTGTATTCGTAATCTCCGTCATGGACTCCCGTGTGTCGGAAAGCTCCAGCCAAATGGTTTTCCTCCCAGTAGTGATGCCAGTTCCCGTACTGGTCTGCACCAAATCCAAACACGTTGACCTGAACAGGATGAGGCAATCAGAAGCACTGTTACTGCATCACAGGAAAACATAGATTCACTTCAAACAAACCACAAAAAGCACTATAATAAAATATATGAGTTTTCTTTATTAACTTCAGTGACTTGTCTTGGATAAGAAATTAAACAGTTTTTGTGTTTCAGGTTCAATGGTTGTGTATTTCTTACTGGAGCAGCTTTGTTTACCTCATCACATAAATGGACAGCAAAAAGCAAGCTGAGGAAGCCGGTTGAAGGATACCGTCCATGACCTTCAAGCCAAGATTCATAGACGTATTTTAAAAATGTTGGATTGTAAATCAACACCTACAAAAAAGCAGAAAAACAGAATGACTGCTTGTCCTGTCAGTCACAGGGAAAATAAAGGACCTCCTTTTTTTAATTGTAGGGTTTCACGTAATACAACATACCATATTTTTCGGACTATAAGGCGCACTTAAAATCATTTAATTTTCTCAAAAATTGACATTGAGCCTTATAATCCAGTGCACTTTATGTAGTAATTCTGTTGTGCTTACTCACCTCGAACCGGTTTTATGTGGTACAACTGAACAATGTTGAGAGTTATTGTGAATGAGTTGAATAAAGTTTGACTTATCAGACCAGGGCCGGCCCAAGTCTCCATGGGGCCCTAAGCGTAATTTGGTTTGGGGCCCTCTACTTCTGCTAATAATGTGGATTACTGCAATCAACAGTCATATGATCAAATCATTCACCCACCTAATTTAAACTCACTGCTACTCTGACAGCCCTGTTTACATTACATACATACATACGTGTATATAATCTAGTAGTGGTATTAAAAGTAACAAAAAAAAAACCCCACCAACATGCAATGTATTTTACAGCGAAAGTGTAATCTGGTTTATTATCGTTGGTTCCAAAGAACTGCAACGGTAATGTTATAAATAATTAGTAGTGCAAGATCGTTGGTTACATACTGTAACCCCAGATTCTATGAGTATAGGCGTATCCTTTCGAGGCTGTCGCTGGTGGGTTTATCCCGTCATGCAAAGCATCACACTAAAAAAATTAGTCCACGCCCACCTGTTGTGTGGGCCCCACCCGGTCCGTATAAATTACGTTAAGAGCGGGTAATCGGCTCCCAAATAGCTTTTTCTTCAGCCATTTAGGAGCCAGTGAGGCCCGACGCTTAAAGGGCTACGCCTATACTCATAGAATCTGGGGTTACAGTACGTAACCAACTTTCTATTTTGTATAGGCTTCGCCTTTTAAGGCTGTCGCTGGTGGGTTAAGGGCGAAGCAGATGTAGTCTCCGCCTCACTGGGTCCATTCGAATACCGTAAGAAGCGCCCGCTTGCCCAAAAAACATCTTGTCACTCAGCTCTCCATGTGCGTAAATACGCGTTGCATAATTACGCGCACCATGCACAGACGCGCATTGCGTAATTTATGCGTTCCGAGTGCATGAATGCCCTGAAAAGGTTTTCAACAGAAAAGAGGAGAGGCTGAAAAGGGCCGTGAACAGAGCAGATCCACGGCTGTTAAATATGAACAGATTAATAATAAATTAACTGATTATTAATCAAATGAACTGATTGATGACAGTAGTCATGAACTGATTAATAACCATAGAACAAGAACAACAGTCATAACCTGTGACTGATAACAACATCTCACACTGTAAATGCATGCAGTCAGATGTGAGTTTAAACGAGATTCCATGAAACAACAATATTCATTCTGTTAAGGCACTAAGGACAGAATGTGTCATGGAACGAGCCATCACATCACGTAAATAGAAACAAATAAATGAACAGGATGTTGACCATGCGGCCGCAGTGCAAATATCCTGCATTGACATACCATTATGCAAAGCAGTCGAAGATGCGATACCTCTGGTCGAGTGCGCCCTGAGGTTGTCAGGAGGCTCTAAATCTGATGCTGTGTAGGCTTCAGAAATGGCCTCACACAACCAGTGTGACAGGTGCTGGGTGGATAACGGGCGACCTGTAGATGCGTCTCTATAGTGCACAAGCAAATGTTGAGTCAGACGCAATGCCGCCGTGCGTGTTACGTACCACGTCAAAGCACGTACAGGGCAGAGAAGATGGAAAGATGCTTCTTCTTCTGATTGTGGGGAGGAGGGAAAAAAATCCCTCCAACGATATCACTCTTGATTTAAAAGAGCTTGTGATGTTTTAGGCATAAACGCTGGGTTAGGTCTCAGATCAGCTGAGCTGCCATCAGCCTGAATTCTGAGACATGATGGAGCGACAGAGAGGGCAGAAAAATCACTCACCCTCTTAACGGATGTTAAAGCCAACAGCAGGGCTGTTTTAAGAGACAAGAATTTAATCGGAACCTGATCTAGTGGCTCGAATGGAGCTTTGATCAGCGCTCGCAGGACCAGCGTTAAATCCCACTGTGGAACAAGTGAGCATGAAAATAGGCCTGCGTCTCTGTACACCTTTTAAAAAATGTTTCATCAGCAGAAGATTAACAGCTGTTCTGTCCCTGAAACCTTTGTGACAAGAAGAGATGGCTGCAGCGTACGTTTTAATCGTGCTGAATGCCAGATTTCTGTCCATCAGCTGCTGCAGAAAGGACAGCACGCCACCTAGTGGACATGAGGTGGCCTCTACACCTTTCTCCGTACAGCAGCACTGAAAAGCTGTCCACTTTGATGTGTATAGCACTGTGGTAGATGCAGCACGTGAATCCTGGATCGTACGCACTACATCTTGAGAGAGACCCATCCTCTCTAATAAAAGCAGATCCGCTCAGCGGCCAGACCCAAAGGTGCTAGCCTATTTCTGGGTAACTCCTGATGGCTCCTCCCGCCTGGAGGAGAACATCCTCCCTTCACGGCAGTTTCCACGGGCACCCCAATAACAAGTGTCATAGAACTGGGAACCATGGGGCATTCATGCGCTTGGGAGCCACCAGGAGAGCTGTCAGTCCCTCCTCCTGAACTCGGTTCAGAAAACAGTGATATCAGAGGGAGTGGGGGAAATGTGTAAAGCATTTTGGGCCACGGGCTGTGAGCAAACGTGTCCACCCCAGCTGTGGTTCGTCTCGCGGGCTCAGTGAGAACCATAGTTGACACTGAGCGTTCTCTCATGTTGCAAACAGGTCCACGGCCACTTTGCTAAATTTCTGCTATGTCTGAGCCATCAGCTCTGGAGGGAGGGTCCAGTCCCTGTGACACGGACCGCCCCTGGACAACACATCCGCCCCCCTGTTCAGAACACTGGGGATGTACACTGCTCTGATGGAGAGCAGATTTTGGTGTGCCCAACACAGCAGCTGTCTCACAATGTGTAACATTTGGGCTGAGCGTGCAACACCCTGCCGGTTTATGTATGCAGCAGTCACTTGTTGTCTGTGTGAATCAACACATGTTGATTCCGCAGCACAGAGGCAAAGTGTTGAATCACATTCAAAACCGTGCAACACTACAAAAACATTTATATGGGCTGCAGTGTGGGGTGGCGCCCCCACAGCTCGAGATATGCATGTGCCTCTCCAACCTGACAGGGACGCGTCTGTGAAGACTGACATGTGTGACGTAGGTCTGCTGACGGGAACTCCCTCCACCAGAACAAGAGGGTTTCCCAGTGTCTCAGGTCGATTCTCACGGAGGGGGGCACAGCAATCAACCGTCTCTTCTGCCTCACCGGGTCCACATGCAAACGAGCGGACCACCTCTGGAGGCGTCGCACCGTGTGAGCAGGCGACATGTCCTTAATAACTTCATGATGAAAACAGCTGTTATCACACTGCCGATTTCACGTGAGTTGCACTGATGCCACCACCTGTCTGGAAAACAGGTCAGCAGCAACAGATCGTCCAGATAAAACAGAATTGTCCTCCCTGCTCTGTGTAGCAGCTGCAGAGCCGACTCAACACATTATGAATGGAAATGTTGTCTCACAGTTGAAAATTGACAAATCTAAGATGGGTCTCATCCCTCCAGTCTGTTTTGGGACCAGGAAGTGACGAGAGTAGAACCCTGTGTTTTCCTCTCCTTCTGGAACCCTGGAAATTACATTTTTTATCAGAATTTCCTGAACTTCTGTGTGGAGGGACGAGATTTGTTCTGGAGATGGAGGTGGGGTGGGGGGTGGGGGGTGACAAGCCAGGTGGACCTCTGAACCATTGTCGTCCAGGCTGCGATGCGAGACAGGCAGACAGCAGACGAGGCACACGGGTTGAGGGTGACGTCAGACGCCTTGCAGAGGGCGCTCTTCGTCTCCTCAGGCAGGTCTGTCCCTCCAGCCTCTAAGATGCTGTACGTCAGCGGCGCAAAGTTATTGTTCGCTGCAGCCACCTGGAATGCATACTGGTGAGCTCAGTTGGAGAGCGATGTCACCGTCTGGTCATGCCTCCCCGGAGGCGCAGGACGCTGGTCCAACCTGGACATCTTTGCTCCGAGAGCCTCCGCCAGGCTTGGCTCCAGGGGGGCACCAAGGGAATTTCCGCTCGGTAAAACCCCTCCACTCTGGTGATGGGCGCAAATGTGGGAACCGGCGCTCTCAGTCTACCAGGTCCGGCTGCAGCCTCCTTCCAGTAGGACGTCACTGCTGGGAAAACAAGGCCAGATGGGATAAGGACGGCGAGCCGGGGTGGAGCCAAAAAACCTTCCCGCTAGATCATCCGATCTGGGCGGGGGAAGGAGAGGGACGGAAAAAAGTCCCTTCATGTCAGTCGCCTCCTGGATAATGCCAGGCAGCTCCGAGAGGAGGGCACCGACAGCTGGGGGCGGTGTGGTCGCCGATGCGAAATGGCCGGGGGGGGGGGGGGGGGGGGGG